CCCCAAAACCCCAAAACCCCAAAACCCCAAAACCCCGTTAGCATTTTTTGTTATAGAAATACGTAAATAACTACATTTACAAATAGTTTATCAAAATTTAGATTCCTACTTATGCGTTCCCTTGCGGCTGAATTTATTGCTACTCTTTGGGAAAAGAAGCCCTTTGGTCTCTTCTTTGGGCTCGTCTTCCATCGAATCGTTATGATTGTTCTTGGAATTATCTTTGTACTTCTGGGTCTTCATGGATACCACATTACGGTTTTTCAATCTTTGCTCGTATTTAGCTATCTTCTTTTTCAAAGTTTTCTTAAAGGGCTTATCAAACCCGTATTCATCTAGAAGGAGTTAGATAATTTAGCTTACTGTCTTCTTGTTCAGATTTGATCATTGTAACTAGTCTATTCTTTAGCTTTGTCATTTCTTCAGGAGAAATAGAAGCAGATTGAATTGATTTCCTTCCTTCACTTATCCTCCTCATCTCATTAATCTTGAAGGTGTCCAAATTGCTCTTTAAACTTTCAATATCCTTCGCACCTAGAGTACTAGCATCAGAATCTTTAAGGTTGAAAAGGACCTCTGACCTGGCTAGGAACTCTTTCTTAGCATCTCCGCTGAGATATTCACTTTTCTTAATGTCCTCCACAAGGAGATACAGGTTGGTGGTGAGACTTCTAATAAGCTTGTCTCTCTCATCATACAGCTTTGTGATATCATTGGACTTATTTATCTAGCTCAGTGGCATGACTAAAGAGCTCAACCATTCCTGAGTTGATTCTGAGCTTCTCGATGATATACTTAGTCAGGATATCGTTAACTTCATCGCAGAAGAAGCCTTCCTTTTGCTTTTTAATCTCAATCTTTTTCCTTTCTTCCTCCATTTTCGAACGAAGTTTGCCTATCATTTCTGAGAGTCTGAACTTCTTGGTCCTTTTGTACTCGTTGATTATCAGAAGTCTTCTTACGGCTTGCCAGAAACGCTCTCTGATGCTTGGCATTCTCTTGGCATCTTCTGAGAAAAAGAACTTGTAGTCACAGACAGGGATCCCATTTGCTTCAGAGTAACGCTCGAAAAATGCGAGTTCATCATCCAGATCGACTAAGACTTTTCGAAATTCTTCAATAGATTCCCTAGAAAGTGTGCATGCTTGGACGTTCGACCTTGCTCGGCCGTAAAAATTATACACAGATTCACAGATCATTGAATAAGCACCGACATGGCATCCTTGAAAGAGAGTGTCAATAACTTTCTCAGTGCCATTGTCCATCTTGACTATGAGCTCTAGCTCACCATGGAATACAAAGATGATGCTATCGACTGCATCTCCAGATTCAAAGGCATATGAATCTTTTTCATAAAACTTATCTCTAAAGGTTAAGGAGAGCTCATCGATCGTGGGCTCATCCAGCCTGTTGAAGAAATCTACATTTCTGAGTACTTTCTTCTGGAATATCCGCCATTTATCATTATATGTAGAAATTTTCTTCTTCAGTCTGTTCAGGACAGCTGGGAAAAAGATACAGAAATCTTGAAAGTCTTCTCTGGAAAGAAGGGCACAGTTACAATAGTTCAGACTCTTCACTGTTGCAGTCCTCTTGTTGTTTGAAATTAAGGCTAGTTCACCAAAGAAATCTCCTGGCTTTAAGATCCTTTCTTGGTTTTGAATCTTCTTGTGATCCTTAACAATGACTACTCATTCTCCAGCTGAGAGGAAGTACATGCCAGAGGCTGTTTGTCCTTGACGGACAATCTCATCCTCTGGAGGAGAAGAGGATGTAGTGATCTTTTCAAGGACATATTCAATAAGGTTATCAGAGATTCCTTCAAAAATAGGTTTCACTGAAGCAAAGATTTCCCGGACAACCTCTGTATTAAGACTAGGAGAGAGCATACTCTTGAAAGATTTCATTTCATCAATCTTATCAAACCCACTTTGAGTGTAAATGATATAATTAATGACTCTTTTCTGAGTCTCACTAGGCAATTTAAGGTTCTTCATTGTAGTATTAGCAATTTCTAGTTTCTCAAAGAACCGTGCTGACTTTTTGTTCAACTCCTGGATAATAACTGCTAATGATCCAAAAATATGCGCATTAATAATGGCTGATACAACTAAGATGAAGCTTGTAAATATCAACTCAAATTCAGTTCTTGGACCGACTTCATTTCCATTAAGAATGAGAACTCCTGTATAAAATCATGTGATAAACTGGGAGAGGAGACTTTCCATGTAAAACTCAGTCTCAGCAGTCATATAGTCATATGTTGGGACCCATTTCTTATCAACATTGACAATGGAATACCATATTCACCCTACAACATGCACAAATAGAAGCAAGTTGAGTACCAGTTTGAAGAGGTTCAAGGTTTGCTTGAACTCTTCCTCAGCATTTAGCTTGTCAATAATAGATCCAAGCCTCAAAACTCTTGAGACTTTAAGAATACCAATAATCCGGAGGAAATTCAGGAAGGAAATATAACTAAAAGGGAAAATGGTGAGGAAATCCACCCAGAACCTCCCAAGGAGATAGTCCTTGGCTATCTCCTTGGGTTCAGAGATTTCAATACCAGTTTTGTTGCTTATAAAAGTTGTCCTGAATGTAAGAATAATATCTAGAGTAAACAGGATGTCAATAAATTGATTGAATATTATCCATGGGATCGACCTTGCAAACGAAGGGTCAAAGGATAGCTCAAGGGGGATACTTACACAATTCCAAATAGCTCACATCATGACTATAAGGTCCCACTTCATACGGAAGGGAGAGTTTAGTCTAATAATTCATTTAGATTGATTCTTGCTTTTATGAGGATTAACTCTTGCAGATCTATTTTCTCATTTCTGACATTTTCATTTCGAAATTTCTTGATAGATTCGGGTCTATCTGAAGCCCATGGCTTGATAGAATATTCTTTGAGATCTTCTCAAGAATATTTTTCCTCTGATTTGTAATACTAAGCTGGTCATCTTGATTCGAGATAGATCCGGATCCTGAGTCATGCCTCTTCTTTTCTTCTTCATCTAGAGCTCTTAACATTTCCTTCTGCTCTTCCTTCTTTCTCTTATTTTCATCCATTTTGGAGTATGCTGCAGAAATACGGCCTGCTCCTTTCATTTCAACTAATTAATATATAAATTTTCAAAGAAAATTTGTAAATTCGGGGTTTTGGGGTTTTGGGGTTTTGGGGTTTTGGGG